CTTGCGGGCTAGTAGGGCGGGGTCGACTGACTGAGCTTTTTTTATTCTCTGGATTAACTCAGGTTGGACGGTCAGATGACGCAAACATGTGACTCCTTTCAAGTCCTGAAGTTGAACATGTTGTGTGGCCCCAATTTGCCTGTATTTTAAAACCATCAAATGAGTTAAGACACCTGCACTTTTCATGCTGAGCATCTGCTACTACACTGCCCTTACCCGGATGGTACAAGATATCACAATCATAGTCTTTAAGGAGTTCCATCCACATTCTCTCATACATGTTGAGATCCTTTTGAGTGAATATGTATTTCAAACTCTTATGATCGGTATAGATCTGAAAGGTCTCTCCGTATAAATAATAGTGCCAGGTTTTCAAGGTGTGTATGATTGCGGCAAGCTCTAAGTCATGGGTGGGATAATTCTTCTCATGATTCTTTAGCTGTCTAGACCCATAGGCTATGACATTCTCATGCTGCATTAGAACACAACCAAGACCTAGATAGGAGGCATCACTATAAACTTTATATCCCCCCGATCCACTCGGTAAAGCCAACACGGGTGCAGTGGTTAGCCGCTTCTTTAATTCTGAAAAACTTCTTTCACAGTTCTCATTCCACTCAAACTTGCCATTCTTCTTTATGAGTCGGGTTAGGGGAGCCGCTAGACTAGAAAATCCTTCGACGAACCTGCGGTAATAACCTGCTATTCCTAGGAAACTACGAATTTCTTTAACTGATGTCAACTTCTCTCAGCCAAGTACCGCTTCAACCTTTTCAGGATTCACTGATACTCCCTCATTTGATATGATGTGTCTTAGGAAGGCGGTCTACTCAAGCCAGAATCCACACTTACTCAACTTTGCATATAACTTTTTTTTTTCTGAGGACCTGCAAAATTTGGGCTAGATGGTGAACATGTTCTTCTCTACTTTTTGAGTAGACAAGGATGTTATCGATGAACATGATAACAAATTGATCTAAGAATTCCCTGAAGACCCTGTTCATCAGATCCATGAAGATGGCTGGGGCGTTGGTTAGCCCGAATAGCATGACTAGCAACTCATAGTATCCGTACCTAGTTCGAAAAGCTGTCTTGGGGATGTCTTCTGTCCTTATTTTCACCTGATGGTAACCTAATCGCATGTCTATTTTGGAGAAGACCTGCGCACCTTGCAGCTGATCGAAGAGGTCATCAATTCAAGGAAGGGAATATTTGTTCTTGATTGTGACCTTGTTCAATCCTCTGTAATCAATATATAATCTCAACGTTCCATCTCCCTTCCTGGCAAAAGTGACTCCAGCACCCCAAGGGGACACACTGTGTCTAATAAAACTATTGTCTTGCAATTCAGTGATCTGTTTCTTCAACTTTTCCATCTCAACGCGGCTCATGCGGTAAGGAGCAACCAAAATGGGCTGGGTGCCTAGTTGTATATCTATGGTGAACTCGACTTCCCTGTCCACTAGTGGTCTGGGTAGTTCGTCCCGAAATACATCTAGAAAGTCTCGGACTACCGAAATCTCTTGAATACAATTCTCTTTCTTGGGCTTGCCTAGTTAGAGAAAATAGCAAGGTTAAAGTACTTGACAATCAAGAAAACTTGCCATCAAGGAATAAGTACTAAACGATTTTATTAATTTGTAAATGGCTCCTCATTAGGAGGATTGAATATAACCTTCTTGCTAAAGCAATCTATGGTGGAGTGATACGTCGCTAGCCAATCCTTCCCTAAAATTACATCAAAATTCCCCGTGTCTAATCCTATTAGGTCTACACTTAATTTCCTATTTGCTATCTCTACAGCATAAGCCCTGTAGACAACTTCTCCCAATAGTGTTTCACCCCCAGCAGTAGACACAAATAACATTGAATCAAGTTTATCAGGTAATACATTAAATTTGGATGCAAAAACATGTGAAATAAATGAATGCGATGCACCAGTGTCAAATAAAACTTGAGCAATATGGTTACAGATAGTGTACATACCCTGTACCATGTCCGGGTCGGCATCGACATCCTGCTGTATGAGGTTGTAAACTCTACCCTGAATAGGAGGTCTTCCTTGATTCTGGTTCCTCGGGCACTCTCTCGCATAGTGCTGGGCACTACCACATATGCGGCAGGTGTTGTTGAGGCGGTAGCATGGTCGGTCCCCGTGATTCCTGCCGTAGTGTTGACAGATCTTACCACGTACTGCCACTGGAGCCTGAGAGGGAGTTTGGATCACCGGTCTGGGCCTCTTATTCTATTGGACAGGCGCAGTAGGTGCTGGTCTGTGGGGTGGAGCTGAGGGTATGTGACTCCCGACTGACTGAGGAAGGGTGTGAAGGCTCCTCTCCACTAACTGTGCCTTTGCCAGAACGGCTGAGTATGTCTTGAGCTCCAGTACAAATAAGTGTTGCTTGATCTCTAGACAGAGGCCCCACTGGAACCTCCATGCCTTCCTGCTCTCATCCATCAACGTCTCAGGAGAGTATCGGCCCAACTCCAAGAACTTACGAGCATATTCCGACAGTATCATGTTTCCTTGGACTAACTGGACAAACTCCATCTCCTTTAGATGTCGGATGTGCTCTGGGAGGTACTTCGCATGGAAGGCTGCAAAGAACTGTTCCCAAGTGACTAGAACAGGCAAGGTAGTCTGCTTGAGTTTCCACTAACGATATGCTTCTCCCACCAGCATGTAGGTAGCAAGGGTGACCTTCTGTTCGGGAACCACTCCTAGGATCTTGAAAGCCTTCTTCGTCTCCGCCAACCAGTACTGGGCATTTTCAAAAGAGGATTCTCCTGCAAAATTGGAAGGGTTCAGTCTCCTGTACCTCTCTACGTAGCCCGGGTCAATCAAGGAAAGAGCTGGGTCCCGCGGAAGAGGGACTGGGCCAGGTTGAGGATAGACTGGGGGGCCCTGTGGTGGCACTTACTGGTATAGTGGGGGCACTGAATTATATTGTGGCTGGGGCACCAGATTATACTGCGGCAGCGCCGATCCGCCTCGGGTTGGCAATTTTTGGTCATTTCTGGCTGAATTCAACCAAACTAGCACCAGTTCCTGTGAGAAAACACACATAAGGCCCTCGGTGGACCGATAAATTCATAAAAAACCGAGACTTACCGGCGTCGGGGCTCTCCAGTGCGGTGGTTCCTCCGACTCGAGTCGCGATTTGGTGTTTTGCTCCGGTCAACCTGTAGAGGAAGGAACGGTGGTCACAATGGTGGAAAAATTACATTAATGGGAATCGGGAAGGGCCTCATCGGAGGCAAAAACTGATAAAACCCACGGCGGCGCTGCTAGGCTTCGGCGGTGTTTTTTGGCCAATTGGCCGGTGTTTTGGCTATGATTTGTCTAGAATCGAATTCTGAGCCAAAGGGAGAATTGTTACCTTGTTTGGCGGCCGAAAAGTGCTCTAGTGCGGCGGCAGGTGACGGCGATCGGTTCACCGGTGGCTGGACTGTCTTCTCCGGCGAGGGCTCTGGCGGCTAGGGTTAGGGTTTGGGTATGGATGAGATTATTTATAACCTTCCGCTTTTAATTTGAGCCGTCCATCGCGATTTAATCTGGACCGTCCGATCGTGATTAAATAGAAAATGAATCTGGACCCTTCATCGCGATGCAATCTGGGCCGTCCGTGCGTGCGGGAACGGATCTCAGCCGTTCGATCACCCACGTGGCTCCCTTCCGTGTGGCCTCCCGCGTCAGCGTCTCTGCCAAGCGGCGTGCCCTGGTTTGCCGGGGCTGCTGACCGGGCTGCTGACATAGCGTAATTTTTTAAAATTGCGTTTTGATCATCGGATTTCGATTTTTTTTTCAAAAACACCATCAGAACCTAAATTTTCACCCATTTTTCCCAAAATTATTTTCAATTAAATTTCAAAAATAATTTTATCCCTTATTATTATTATTATTATTATTATTGTTATTTCTATTTAATTAAATTAAACTAAATTAAAACTATATATTATTATATAATAAATCATTATATTCATCTAACAATTACAAAAAAAATTAAAATAAAATAAAATAATATTAATAAAAATAATAATAATTTGGGGTGTTACAAGAAAACTCATATTTTGACTCAAATTCACATTTTTATAAAAAAAAATGGTGGAAGTTCAATTGTAAATCTATGTTTATTTTAATTAAAATATAGTTAAAATTCTCTTAATAAACTAAGATTGAGAATAACATTTCCAATGAAATTTGAAATTGCAAATAAAAGTTTGTATAGATTTATTTTGTTATTGTTCTAATACACCGTTGATTTGTAAATGAATTTTCATATCAGTTTTAAATAAGGATAACAATGTCACTCAAACTTTGTCATAAGTGATTTCTTATTTAATATAAAAATAATATATATATATATATATTATATTATATTATCATAAAAATAAAAAAAAAAGTTAAACTTCTCTTGTTGTTCGGCTATTACTCTGTTTTATAATAAAAGTTTGGATTTGATCTTTATATACGCTGTAGTTTTACTAAATTTATGTCTCTTGTGCGAATAAATAAATATACTTACATATATAATTGAGAAGTAAAATCATGGAAAAATTTCACAAAATTACCTCTTCAATTTATTCACAAACCAATTAACAACAATTTTTATTTGTTAATAAGAAATCAAATTACTCAGTACAAAAAGGAAAAAAGCATTAAATTAATTAAAACCCAACAACACCTACTGATGCTTCCTCAAATAGTAATCTACATATATAGATACACCGATTATATATACAAAATTTTTCGGTAATTGTCTCTTTTCTATTTAAGAAAATTCAAAAAAATTTCAAACTGAATTGAAATCGGCAACTAATATTTTTCGTGCATATATGACAAGGGAGCCGCTCATGATCATCACTCTCACTTCAGTAATTTTAACTAATAATTTACAAAATATTCATGCACAAATGAGTACTAGAAATTAATTCACATAATTACAATTATATATATATATACACGTACGTAGCACATATATATGTCTAAACTTGAAAATTATATAAAAAATAGTTTAGTAATATACTTTAATTTTTTGGGAGGTTGCTTATATAACTAATTAAATAATAATAATAATAATAATTTAGCAAGCAGCAGATGGTGGGTGAGAAAAAGAGTTATACAGATGATGAGGTTTCGGGGAGATGGGAATCAAGGGATTTCCAGAAGAGCCATCGCCACCATGAGTACTACTCCCAAGTCTCTCACACGAAGGGCACATAGTCATGAGGGTGGCCGCCGGCAGATGCATATAAAACGACGCCGTTAGCTTCAGCGATTTCAGCTCTTGCACTTCTTTCTGCAGCCTCTTGTTCTCTTCTGTCAGCGTCTCGCAACACTTCTTTAGCAGCTCACAATCCACCTCAGTCTTCTTGAGCTTAGTCCTTCAAACACCCATAAATTATATATATATATATATGTATGACTATATTTAAACGAATAGCGGAGGGTCTTACCTGGCTCTCCTGTTCTGAAACCATACTTCTACCTGTCGAGGTCGAAGATTCAGCTGCTCTGCCAGGGCTTGCTTTTGTTTCTGCAGATAGAAAAAGTCAGAGGACTAGATATAGATATATATGTGGATGAGCATATGGAAAACTGAAAATGAAGTGAAGAATGGTGAGCATATGTATATATATATGTACAGGATTGAGGGTGGTGTGATCTCTGAAGCTGTCTTCTAAAATGGCGGCCTGTTGTTTAGAAAGTCTAAGTTTCTTTCTTGGGCTACCATCTTCTTGATCATGATTATGATCTTCATGTTGATCATCACTACTCACTCTTGAACAATAATTAATCTTCTCTACCTCTACTTCTTCTGATCCCGAATTACAATATTCTCTCGTCTCTTTCTTCACGCTGTTAGAGTTTGAAAACGACGACACTCCTTCTGTACTCAGAGAAGAAGCCTGGTTCTGCTGAACCTGATCCTTAACATCACCGATACTTGCTTCCCCTGCTCTATGATCATCAACCATCTGATTGACGTGATGATGATCTTGTGACTTCAGGCCAAGAGAGAGATCAGATGGGAGGAGGTGATCATCGTACCTGAGAGAGGCAAGTAGTGTTATATTTTTCTTGATGTTTTCTTGATTTGGCCTCTCATGGCGGCCGCACAAGGCGAGACCAAGGCCTGTGTCGCAGGTGGGGTTCTGATCAGTATCGCTACTGAAAACCATATTTGATGAGTTGAGGAAGAAGAAGATGATGAAGGGGGGACGGAGAAGAAGAAAAAATAAATGATGGGAAAGAAAATGAGAGGGATGGTGGTGGTTGGTAATAAGGAAACCTGGCAAGTGCTGTGGGGGGAACTAATTATTAATGTGTTCAAATTGGAAAATAAGCTGCTTTTTTTTTTTTTTAAAATAATAATAATAAATAATGGAGTTATGAAAATTCCCATCTCTCTTTGCCTTCTTACGTTGACTCACTATTATCAACCACTCACAATCTCTTTCTTCCTCTCCTTTATTTTATTCTTGTTTTAGTAAAAACTTTTATATTTTATTAATTATATCCTATACTGTAACACCCACATTTTTTTTAATTAAATAAATGATAAATATAATTTTTATTAATTTATTTTACTTTATTGTATTTTATTTTATTTTATTTGGAGTAAAAAAATAAAATAAAATTGATAGAGAATTAAATTGAAAACAATATTGGGGAAAAGAGGGAAAAATTTGGGTTTTGGGAATAATTTTGAAAAAAAATCGAAAAACATGAGTCAAAACGTAATTTTGAGAAGTTTTGACATGTCAGACGCTTGGTCAGCAACCTTAACCAACCAGGACGCACCAAGTGATAGAGACACTGACGCAGGAGGCCACGTAGGCGATCCACGTGCCCGCGATTGAATGGCTGAGATCCGTTCCCGCGCACACAGATGGCCTGGCTGCGCTCCCTCTCAAACGCGATCAAACAGCGAGATTCAAACGCGATCGGACGGCCCAAAGTGAATCGCAATGGACGGCCCAAATTGGATCGCGATGAATGGTCCAGATTCACTCTCTATTCAATTGCGATCGGACGGTTCAGATCAAACGTGATGAACGATCCAGATAAAAAATAGGTGGATATAAATAACCCCCATTCACACCAAACCCTAATCCTAGCCGCAAGAACCCCTCGCCGGAGAAGACAATCTAATCGCCAGGAAGCCGACTGCCGCCACTCGCCGCCGCACTGGAATCCTTTCTGACAGCCAAAAAAGGTAAAAACTTTCCAATTTGCACGAAATTCAATTTTAAGCTCACCCATGCTCAAATCGGAGCAAAAAGACCGACCAATTAACGGAAAAACACCAGCGAAACTCGACGGCGATGCCGCAGAAAATTTTACAAAATGCCTCCGATGAGGTCCTTCCCGATTCTCGTTTCGCGTAATTTTTCTATTGTTATGATCATCATTTTCTTCTCTACAGGTTGATCAAAGCAAAACACCCAACTGCAACGTGAGCTAGAGGAGCCGCCGCATCGGAGAGCCTCGCCGCCAGTGAGTTTCGATTTTTCGTATTTTTTCAGCTAATCGAGACCCTTTAACGTGTTTTCTCGCATGGATTGATGCAAAATTGGCCAAAAAACGGCTAACCCGAGGTGGACCATCATCGCTGGAGCACGGCGGAACTGCCATACCGGAATTCTAAAATTGGCAGAGTGGGTCCTGAAACTGATTTTGGGTTTATTTGAAATAGTTATAGGTACTATCAGCGCGTTTCAGTTCACAGATAAAAGTTCAGGGAACCTAGAGACCGCCCGTAGGTGCATTAAATAGTTTAGCTTTTCAGACGTTAAATCGAGTAAGGATCCCTCACCCTACTCTCTATCATAGAACTGAAGTTTAAATAAATAATAATGTGATATTTTGTGCGATTTTAGTAAACATGCATAATTAATTACGGGTTACTAATGGAGTCGGAACCGGAAATTATCTACCTTTGTTGTTGATTATTTTTACAACTTACCTGCATGATGGTATCTTATTTATTCATTTTATGACTTTGAATACATGCATGGTTTATTTTACGTGTTTACTACTAAATCGGAAAAAATAAAGTTTAAACGATAAAGAAATTATGTGATTAAATGATTAGATGAAAAGACAGTCTTATTGGATATCCTCAAAGATGGTGGACGGCTCAGGTATATAGGGAACCCTACCATGAACGTTGTCTCATACCGGACGGGGTATGGAGACTTGATAATTTGGTGCTTATACCGGATGAGGTATGTGGACGGCCTGTTTCACCCTCATACCGGACAGGGTATGGGGACGGCCCATAATTGATAATGATAAATGAAAGAGTTCACATGTAGCGGATGCATCCCTATGAACCCCCATGGATGCTAGTAGGCTGGTGAAAAGAATGGTAGTTATTGTTGAGTTTATTGATAATGGATATGGATTTATAATATGTACTATGATGGCTCATTATGCATGAAATATTGGTCTGTATGATATTATTATTTTTATTGGTTGTTTCATAAATTCCACTATGGTAAGTGAACAATAAATGATTTTATTTTTAATATAAATGTATTGGTTTAAATTTAGTACTCTATTATAGTTTTCGATTTTATACTAACATTTACTTCTGTGTGGGTGA